TAGAACATACCCAGAAGACGACGCAGCTGCCGGCGATAGAAGCTGTCGAGTGTCGCCAGACTTGTTGGCGTCAGGGCCCACGTGCCGCAGTTGAACAAAAGGACCGGGAGCACGTAGCGCTTGTTCGTACAGCCTCACACGGTTGTCTTCCGAAATGAGGCCCCGGCGTATCCAGATCTTTCACATGTTGTTGAACGCCGCTGTCGCCAATCGCTTCCAAGCACGAAGATCGACCGCGTCGTCGAGGTGGCTACTGGTGCGTCGACCTGCGTCGACGTGAATAGATATACCTGCGATTCTTCCTTCGTGTCTTCGATCATCTTGAGGTCCTACCGGGCGAAGACAGATGGCGCCACGGTCTTGATCCTTGGTCATGGCAGCAGCCTCGTGGCAGATAAAGTTCCAGTCGTCGGCGTAGGTGACCGGTACGCGAGGAGGGCGATTTCTTCGCTGAGCGTCTGCGTGAGGTCCTTGAGCGCGACATCGAGGTACATGATGAACAGCGCCTTGTTGCGTGCCGATGTTGGTCTTGAACGGGCTGCGCCACTTGCCGTCCATGCGCAACCGGAGGGTCGTGGTCGTGAGCAGCGTGTAGACCAGGCGCCCTTCATCATCGTCGAGGAAGCCTTGGAGCACCGTGAGTAACTTCGAGCGGTCGATCCTGTGGAACGCGCGTGAGAAATCGATACCTAGGATAGAGAACTGCTCTTGATATTGGCGGATCGGGCGACACGCCAACTGTGAGACCACGTGACGTCGGCCATGCTGCGTCCAGGGCAGAAGCCGCTCTGGTACGCGCCAATCTGCCTGTCAAGCTTCTCCCGGATCCGCTTGAGCACCATCACAGAAACGACCTTGCGGATGCCTTAGAGCAGCACTATCGGACGGAGCGCTCGAGCATACGACTTGGGGCTTATTATTGGGCTTGGGCAGACAGTTCAATCGCCGAACCGGACCGGCTGGCCGTCGGCAAACCGTCGTTGAGCAGCTTAGCAAGTGGCGTGGCGACGAGGTCGGCGCTTAAAGACTCTGGCTGGCATGTTGTCGGACCGCAGGCACGGTTGTTGCGAAGCT